CTGTTACAGATATGAGGATGATATGCATTCCACGCTATGGTATATAATCTACCACCACAATCACAAGCCGACTAGTCCACCACCACAAGGAGTCTTCCCACCTGGCAGGCCACTGGACGGCCGGACCCGACCGTGCTCACCGTCTCCCGCTGATGCGGACCTCCATCTGTGTCCTCCACCGACCTACGCCATGGATTACCATTGTGATCTATCATGTTACTATTCCTGATGTACCCTCTATGTGATGTACCGATAAACCTGATACTCGCTCTTATATTTGTTGCTGTTGGATCACACGCTTCCACGGCGCTACGTTTACTCTTTGATTGTGCACGGTGCTCCACTCAACATTCAGTGGATGTCAACTGCGGCTGAACCAGAGTGCTCAATCCCGAAACATTTTCCCAGTCGTGCACATGAGTTCACTGTTGTATGGCTGTCGTAATGGCTATATTACAGTATTTTCGAATGTCGAGTTTTGTGGTGCAAAAGTGCGTCAACCCTATGGTTAGGTTGGAGTCTGTCCGTCAAAATCGGCGATTACGCAGAGTTTACGAAAGCGCATTTCACCACATCTATTCAGAAGGGTCAGTAGATTCCATGACCATCATTTGAAAAGAACAAGAGCTTGAAAACTCTTCAAACCAGTTGTTCGTTAAAGCAAATTGACCCTTGTTGCTTTTGAAAGAAAAAAATGCAGTGAACTTTTTTTCTGTGAAAAGGAGAACAGGTCGCAGATGTTGCAAATGTTTCATATTTTAGGATGTAATTGTACAAAAAAATTTGAGAGTCAACGAAAGCGATAGTGATTAGAAAAACCAGGTGTCTTTATAATTTTGTCCAGCTTTCAAAGAGGGCTTTTTCGAATTTTTTCGTTTTTTTTTCGTTCAAACTCAACAAGACTGGAAGCCGTTTTGAGGGTTTATGGAAGGTTGACTGCGCACAATACAGCAAAGTTTCAGACAGATTCATTGACAAGAACGAAAATTACGACGATTTCTAGAGTGTCTTTATAATTATGTCCAGCAAAGTATCTTACACTGGGCCATCTGCGCAATCTTGGACTTTTTTCCAGCTGCATTTGATTTTTTTGAGCAAAAACAGAACTTGACGTGAAGAAGCTTGGCAGATAACAAAAATTGGAATCATTTTCACTGCTCTATAAATCGATATTTTTCAATGTAGCCCCTTCGACTAGAAAACTTCCCTTATCAGTAATAAGTTTAGAACTTCTAAGCATGACTCTTATCCAAGAATACAATAATCCATAAGGTTGTACTACATTCACTCTCTCACTCTGCGCCCTCTAAGGAGACGCCACCCTCGCATCAGTTCGCGCCGAAATTCAAGCTGATGTTGTTCGAAACGGTAAACTCCTGTGGAAGATGACTATGGATACAGTAACGAGATAAGAATCATAAAGTGGAAAGCAAAAGCGAATGATACAAGGACGGTATAATAAGGCTGGAAGGTTTTCTTGGTTTGCGTCATTACAGACCTCACCTTTTTAGATGGAGTAGTTGGAGCTTTTTGTTCAGGCAAACAAGAGCATGCATAACCAAAGTAAAACTGTATAGCCAGATTTCTCCTCTCATGCAATATATATCTGTTGTTTTGTGAGAGCCTTGGCAGAATCGAAGAAGATCTTTCAAGAAATTCACAGTTTGTTCGGAATTTTTCTTGGAACTACTATACTTAAGCATACTTGAGAAATTTCTTCTCGATTCTTCCAGTTAAATAGCGACCCGACTGCTTTGTCTATAGGAATATAGCTTGGAAGTCAGCTGATTGCATATAGACTCTAAAATCACAATCTTGGCTCTTTTAGTCTTTATGTGTACAAGTCGACCAAACCAAATATTTTATTTAGATGGAGCTAAATCAAAAATGACCGATAAACCTCAATACCAGGAAAAGCAAGAATTGACAATATATTTATTTCACACAATGGTTCAAAGCCTGTCTCTGTTTTCCAAGAAATGTGGCCCTAAAGAGGGCCGTTGGGTTAAGTTTATACAGCGAATGTTTGGCGCTTAAGCACGCTCTCCACGGATGCGACGAGCCAGCTGGATGTCCTTGGGCATGATGGTGACCCGCTTGGCGTGGATGGCGCAGAGGTTGGTGTCCTCGAAGAGACCGACGAGGTAGGCCTCTGAGGCCTCCTGTAGGGCCATCACAGCCGACGACTGGAAGCGCAGATCGGTCTTAAAGTCCTGGGCGATCTCGCGGACGAGGCGCTGGAACGGCAGCTTGCGGATGAGCAGCTCCGTCGACTTCTGGTAACGACGGATCTCACGCAGGGCGACGGTTCCCGGACGGTAACGATGGGGCTTCTTGACTCCGCCAGTGGCCGGGGCCGACTTGCGAGCGGCCTTGGTGGCCAGCTGCTTGCGGGGGGCCTTTCCTCCGGTGGATTTGCGAGCGGTTTGCTTGGTACGAGCCATTGCTGAGTGTTCTGAGAGAACGGTGCCCGACCACTGCTTGACGGTCTTTTATCTGCTTCGCGGTGGCCGGGGCGGAGCCTAGCCGGGCAGGCGCTGAAGGTCAGCCATGAGCCCGAGTGATATGCGCACACATCAGAATCAGATGAAATGCTGTGGCAAGGGTACAAACTCTCGGGGAAGGAAACCTTTTGAACAAAAGAAGGATATTTGCCAGTCGGTGTATGAGTTCTTGTTCTCACCGCTGTGATTTGTTCACGTAATTAGTCTGCAATTCAAAATGGTTTGCATTCTGAGACAAAAGTGAAAAGTGACAGAAACTCGTCTGCGACATGTAGTTTGGATATATGAAAAAAGAAACCTTCAGTGCTTCATAAAGATGCAAGCAAGCGGGTGTGGATTGCCTAGGGTTTGCAAATACTATGCATACTTTTGCACTCACTTTTGATTTCAGTTAATTTGCCATGAACTTCCTCACATCTTATTTATATGGTCTTCTCATCTTCTCATGACAAGCTAAGCACTTGCCCAATAATTTATGCTTAGAAAATTAATACAAAAACATCCTACTCTACGAAAAGCTCAGAAAGAACGCCTGGAATCACCGTATATTCTGAATTCTCGGACCCTACCATTGCTCACTCTAATACCTTTTTCTAGACAGTGATTATTTATCTTAACATGATCAAGACGACACTTGTTGATCTAATTGAGCCTCATCAGACATATTACTATGACACTACACAACGTGAGATTATTCTCAGAGGCATAACGTGACCCAGGGTCTGACAGAGGTCGTGAAAACAATATCCCGACTTGCCACATGAGAACATCAGCGTATGTCATAAGGATCCGTTGAATGCACAGGAACCAAGAAGTGCGAATGCTAAGCAAAAACCCGCAAATTCAATTCAAAGAATGCATTTGCGGTCAAAAGTCAGGGTAAACAAATACAAGTTAAGAAGTCACAGTCTATGGAACAACTTGTCAAGGAAGAAATAATTCAACGAAGTGGTTGGATGAGTGAACCACTTCAGAGGATGAAATAATGATCTCAAATTTTCATTTGGTATTAGCAGGACTTCTTTGAGCAATGAGTTACAAGCAAGTCTGAAGCAGCTCTCTCAGCTTTCAAAATGAGTAGCGATGATCATGACTATAATATATCTGAGCTTATCTACTGAAAGATTAAGCCCACTGCTCCATCTGAGTTCATGGAACACAATCTTATTGCTAGATGAATCGACCAAATCAATACCATACATACTTTCCTAATGAGACGCTGTAGATAAGAAGACTTAGAATCAACTTTCATACCCACTAAAATAGTTTACGTATCATTCGAAAAGGCTATTTTAACCAAGCACCCTTTTTTGAGGTGAAAAGAGTAGTAATTAATTTTCATGACCAGACAAAATTGTTATTAAGTCAAGTTAATTTCTGCGCTGTGTATAGCTGGGAAATAGTAGAGGCTTACTCTTCTGTATAATCGAAGCCTCTATGCAATATTGAACGCTCAAATTGCGCAAAACACTTTCAAATAAGTTTTAGCCGATTGGAATGATTCAGTGACGTACGAACACTGACGTATATCTTGTGAGATTTTCTGTATAGTATGCCTGAAAGTCAGTTCGAATGGCTTTATTCCGATTCCAAAACCTGAAAAACTTTCGAGATAAAATGATGGACAAACATATAAACAGATCGCCTGACATTATGACAGAACGCATTATTGTGTGTACTAACACTAAGACATTCTCTTTTCCAGATCCAGTTGTACTTGTGCTACCAATCGCAGATCTCATATGTTACTTTTCAACTACAACATCGTTATTTTTCTACCTCCGTCCAAGTATACAGCATTATATTTCGAATGGCTTTATTCTATGATAGCATTACTCTATTCATCAGACAGTTGTGGCCCTAAAGAGGGCCGTTGGGTTAGATTTGGCGCACGAGTGCAGCAGAGAAATTTATTCCTTGTCGCCAGCAGTCTTCTTAGGCAGAAGAACAGCCTGGATGTTGGGCAGGACTCCTCCCTGGGCGATGGTCACACCGGACAACAGTTTGTTCAGCTCCTCGTCATTGCGAACAGCGAGTTGGAGATGGCGAGGGTTGATTCTGGTCTTCTTGTTGTCACGAGCAGCGTTGCCGGCCAACTCGAGCACCTCAGCAGCGAGGTATTCGAGCACGGCAGCCAGGTAGACGGGGGCTCCTCCTCCGATTCTGCCGGCGTAGTTGCCCTTGCGGAGCATGCGGTGCAGACGACCGACGGGGAATTGAAGTCCTGCTCGGGATGAGCGGGACTTGGCCTTGCCTCCGGTCTTGGCTTTGCCTCCTTTTCCACGTCCAGACATTGTAGTAGCGAGAACTGCGAGATACGCTCAGTGACTAGGGGGGTTGCTAGGGCCCTCTTATGTACGAGGTCGCGCCCGCGTTCCGCCCCCATGACCCTCCAAAGCGCCACCTGCTAGGGCGGGTCATCGCGGCGAACGGCGTATAAAGGGGCGTCTCACGAGACAGTCCTCACCCACTGTCCACTCAGTGAATCCAATCGTCATGCCACCAAAGCCATCAGCCAAGGGAGCGAAGAAGGCCGCGAAGACGCAGAAGGCGAGCCGCAGCGGAGACAAGAAGAAGAGGAGCAAACGCAAGGAGAGCTACTCGGTCTACATCTACCGCGTGCTCAAGCAGGTGCACCCCGACACCGGCGTGTCGTCGAAGGCGATGTCGATCATGAACTCGTTCGTCAACGACGTCTTCGAGCGCATCGCTGTCGAGGCGTCGAAGCTCGCCCACTACAACAAGCGCTCGACGATCTCGTCCCGCGAAATCCAGACCGCCGTCCGCCTGATCCTCCCCGGCGAGCTCGCCAAGCACGCCGTCTCTGAGGGCACCAAGGCCGTCACCAAGTACACCTCCAGCAAGTAAACGCCTTGCGACCTGGTGCATGCACCCAATCTAACCCAACGGCCCTCTTTAGGGCCACAACTATTACATGAGTACCATGAATGCTATCTTGATTAATAAAGTCTTGATTTAGTTTATATTTTGTTATTCTATACCTGCATTGTTGTTGCATTCATGTGTGTTTGCAAAAATGGCAGATGAGTGGTCAAGTAATTTCGGTCCGATCAAATGTGCATTTTAGCGCGGATGATCTCCAGTGACGATGGTTTTTCTGAACAGTAGCAACTGTTATTTATTGGATTAGGTGTTGCAGTGGAGTTATAAAAAAGATGGACTCGGATCCTGAAACAAAAAATCAATTATAATATTAAAAACTCTACTTGCTTCAAATTGATTATTCATATTTCGGCAACAACAGCAGGTCATAGGATTTGAACTAGTATAAAAAAATCTGACTTACTAAACGTTCTGAAAAATTTTAGCTAAATTCAAGAATCTTTTTGAATTCTACTAAACATTTTTATCGCTATGTATGGCAGTAAAAAAATTTGATTCAAGCTCTTAATATGTAAGGGTTGTATAGAATTTATCGAAACGAACGATTAGTTGAAAAAGAAGGCATGAATTTTTAAAAATTTTTGTGCAACACTTATGTGACGACCCAATACTTGGGATCTTTTCTTTGAGTTGCAATTATTCGCATTTTCACTAATAGTTTTATGACAAAGCTTACTCCTCCATCCTCTAGTTACTGTAAGTATACTTAGGTATAGCATCTACGAGAAATATGAGCACTTGTGAACCATTGAAATTGCATTTGTTCGAATCTGTAAAGGTCACAGAATGAAATCATAGATCTAAAATATAATCGCATGAGAATAAACCAAATTTCTCTCATCTGTTCTCCTTTGGAATGCACTTTTCTCTATTTCTTATTCGCCTTGGTAAAAGCTCTAATCATTATTGGAATGGTGATTCCATCTTCCTCCTTGAAAATCAAATCTGATAAAGGCACTAACCAAGAAAATTTCCCAACTTTATTTTGAAGACTCTTTAGTGCTCTTGGTTTTCTCTTTTTCACTTCTATTGCAATGTAACTCCAGCTATCACTTTCAGTAGTTTATTGTCTCGCTTGTCAACATCTGATTTTGAATTTCGGCGGGGACTGACGCGAGGGTGGCGTTACCTTGGAGGGTACAGAGTCGAGGGAGGGAATGTACCGTTGGTGGATGTAACATCACGGATAGGTGGAATCAGAAATATAAGCTTCATTTAGAAGCATGATTGAGTTGCTTACCAAGGAACGAATACTCTCTCAAAAAAGAATGGCTCGGAACGAAAAGTTGAATGTGATAATAAGGATTACAGTAGTTTTGATTGTACCCTTGTTTTAGCAGGTTGTCTCACATTTTTTATAGCAAAGAGGCGACGAATCTTTCTTGGTTCTTTGATAATAGATTTTCATTTTCAACGTTCTTCGTTCTAGTCACTCGTCTACTACTGCTTTTTGGATAGATTCCTCAAAAGTCGATAACGAACCAATGGCAAAGGATTTGAAATGCTAACAATAATTTGTACTTCTAACAGTTTCGTGGATCTGCAAATATTACAGTTTCGATTATAAAGCGTGTATATTGAGTCTGTCCGAAAATTCGCGCTGTTTTTGACCCATGCTCAAACTACTTAGAATGAGCTTAGACAAATGCTTTGAACAGTCTTCGATGCAGAATCTCTTCCTCTTCTTAAAGGTTATGTTTCTGTTCAAAATCCCTCGATGATCGCTCAAATAATCGTCAGAATCTCCAACCCGTGGTTGGTTTTACCCATCTTGAGTTTGGCTATTTTTAAAATTTTCATTTTCAACTTCTGCTAGCTTTGCTTACATATGGATAGAATGAACAAAACACAATACAATACATTTTTCTGGCCTCTTCAACTAACTTTTCAATATTCCCTAAATAATTTTCCAAAAGCCTTTACTTTTGCGAAGCCGTGAAATACACAATCGCTTCGAATACTGATATATCTTCGGAATTTGAAGCTTCCAAAAACAGCTTAAGACTTAACGCTGATTTCAGCAAGCAAATGAGCATTTAGCGGTTCGAAATATTAGATTCCGAGTTTTCTGGGTACAAAAACCTGGAACGAGTTTGGAGACGAGAATTATAATGATTTAACCATCAAATACTGCCAAATCAGGGTAAAGAGAAGTCTACCGAAAGGAGAGATAAAGCTGCATCCAATGACACTTGGTCGCTCGCCCTTTACTGTTCTGTAAGGATTGAGATGCCCAAACATGGAAAATGATAGCATCGGAGAAATATTCTTGGAAATTTTGAGCTAGAAATGCCAAAAAATGTGTTGTTTTGCGTTTTGTTTATTCTCTCCAAAATCAAAGCTAGTTCAAAAGGAAAAATGGAAATTTTGAAAAATAGCCAAACTTGAGATGGGTAAAAACCATGGGTTGAAGACTCAGACGATTGTTTGAGCGGTCATCAAAGGAATTCAAACAAAAACATAACCCTTAGAAGTAGGAAGAAATTCTGCATGGAACACCATTTAAGGCTTTGACTATCTTCATTCTAAATGGTTTGAGCATGGGTTCTGAAAAACAGCAAACTTTCGGACACCTAGTAGTTTACAGACCATTTCTTTAGCTTGTTGACCAATGTCGTAAGATAAGCCTCTGGCAATAAAGCGATCTATTTGCTGCATAAGTTCTGTCCGATTTGAATTTTTTGAGTTCAAAATGTCATAACTTCTTTCACAGTCAACTTTTTTCCAAGATCTTAGTTTCATTGTGTTGAGCATATCCTTGGCTATCAGAGACACATTGAAACCTGCGAAAATCCTTGTTAAGGAAGAAACAAGAACTTAAAGACTTTACAGCGTTTTTCTTCAAACCTGTCTTTTTTGACATGGCAATGCTCCTTTATGAGAACTGATAGGCATCTTGTTTAACAATGGATAGATAGAGAATTTTTCGCAGATTATTTTGTAACATGAAAGAGCACATAGAACTGCGTTGCCGAGAGATTTTTTTGACCGAACAAAAAAGAAGCCACTTTTTGACTTCGCTTCAGCGCATGTGTGCATGCCTATTTACGAATTATGAAAATTTTACAATTAACGTGAGCGCCGAAAAGAAATTGGTGAATGACCTCTGCTAGCCCTTGCTTTACCCTAGCACCTCCAACTTTAAAGTCGTCGATTACTTCTATTCGCAGAAAGTTGTTGCTTGTGAACCATTTATACAGAAATGTATTAATTTGACAATAAATTTCACTAGCAAGACGTTTCCTTCAGAAAACTGAACTTATGCGTGTGCTAGCCTGTTACACCCGTGTGCTAGCCTGTTACAACCAATTGAAAAACTTCACCTAAAGGGCGCATTGTGGAGATTTCCCGGCAAGAACATAAATCTAAGGTGAGAACGTACCTCGGCTACTTGGAGAATTTGGGTCTGAAATCTCCTTGCACTGAGAAATTTATTGAAATTTGATATGCTTTGAAAAGCGCAAGAAAAGCACTTCCTAACGATACTAACAATACCACATAAGAGATGAAATTCTCTTAGAACAGCTGCTTCAAACACAAGGCAAAAAATTCGGACAGAATTTATGCAGCAACCTAATATTTATGAGAATGAAAACTTGACTTCAATGATCGAGTATAGCAATGAAATCAAAATCCTAAGCAGAAAAACATGTTCCATTAGAAGAACTGCTAATTAATCAAAATGCGGAATTACTGCTACGTTTTCTCGGCGCTTTTCTTGTAATTATTAAATTAGCATGTGAGTCATTTCTTACTAACAGTTTATTATGGTTTAGTATTTGCTACTAAAACTGTGAAATGTCTAAATTATAGCGTGTTGTCTTCAGCACTTTTCTTTCTACTCACTTCTACCCAACCTAAAATGTTCCATGCCTTGAGAATAAAGCGAGCAGAAGTCATTAACCTTTTATTGTGTTGTCATGCTCAGATCTTCACCTCAGATCAAATTTTTTATACCAGAAAGATGTAAGTTTTAAATAAGCATTGCAGAAATTCTACCTTGAGAACCTTGGGACCATAAAAAAAGCATCACGAGCGCTGTCTTGATTTGATAATTACTTGCCCAGGGCTGATTTCTCATACTTAGCACCTTAACTTCCATTGTCTAGTGAGGATTTGACTAGTGAGATGAGTCGATAGTATAGGTTTGAGGATGACATTAGCAATTTCTAGCATCTTAAACACAACACGGTATACCATGGTATACTTGCTGTACATAACAATGCTCTTTCACATGAAACTATTATTGTATGTCCGCTCCATAGTAGCAAGCACCGTTTACAAGATATTGGTCAGAAGCCGAAGCGACTATTCCCAGCAAGCTATACAGTGGATGCAGCATAGAACGCTGATTCAAAATCCACTTTTTTAGCTGCTGAACTTAATCTTTGGATTTGTGAAGAAATAGTGTAGGCAAAGTGAAAATTTGGACATACAGTCCACCTTTGGGTTAATGCTTAGCCAAAACGTTATTGTGTGGAGAATTTGAAACATAGAAACACTCTTTGTGATATTCATGATTGATGCTACACTGCAAAGAGCAAAGAGTGCGACATGTGTTGGTTGACCTTGTGCGGAATGGGTCTCCGCGGGGTGACCCTGTGGTGGCGCATAAAAGCAACTGCTGCGCCCAGTTGGCATCTCATTCGTGAGTGCTACCAATAGAGCAATGTCTGGACGTGGAAAAGGAGGCAAAGGACTCGGCAAAGGAGGAGCGAAGCGCCATCGCAAGGTGCTGCGGGACAACATCCAGGGCATCACCAAGCCGGCCATCCGTCGTCTCGCCCGCAGGGGAGGAGTGAAGCGCATCTCAGGACTGATCTACGAGGAGACCCGCGGAGTGCTGAAGATTTATCTCGAGAACGTCATCCGGGACGCCGTTACCTACTGCGAGCACGCCAAGCGCAAGACCGTCACCGCCTTGGACGTCGTCTACGCCCTCAAGCGCCAGGGACGCACCCTCT